CGACGATCTTTGCAGTCATACTCAGGCAATCAAGCCTACAGGCTTTACGCGCTTTGCGAAGCTCTTCAAAAGTTCCATGCTTCTTCAAGCAGCCAAGGACAGTTGCTGCGGTGGCTGCCCAACTTGCCAGCCTCCTGCAGGCATGGGTTGGCCCCCAACAAAGTTGCTTCTCGCCTTTGGGGTCTTCTAGGTTCGGGAAAATTCGACGGCCAAGGTGTAGGATGCCACACCTAAAGCATCAAAAGCCTTCGGCCATCTTAAGCCACTCCACACGGAGGCCCAGCAGCGCCTGTCCTCCACTCTTCAAGAGACCGGCGACCTTCCAAGGCTCGGAGCGGGAGACCTTGTGGGTTTGAGGTGGGTAAAAGCGGGTAACGCAGCAATTTGCAGGGCTTAGTAAGCCTAAGGCCACCCGAGCAAATTTGAAGGCGCTTCCCCCACTCCCGAACCATATGAGAACCTTACAAAGCTGGCACAGAAGAGAAGGTGCGAGATGTGGGATGCTGGCTCCACTTCTGCCTAAAGCAGTCGCACTACTCCAGCACATCCAGTCGCAGAAGCCCTAGACATCCCTTGTAGACACCAGGCTTCGACTCGGGAGCAACTCGGAGCCACTCTCCGCACGCTCGGCACAGTCACGCAGCCGCTCGGCGCTGGCTTTGGCCTCCAAGGTCTCCCTGAAATGCCTTCTGAGAGGTTCCAAGGCCATCTCCACGACCTCAAAACAGCGAGACATAGCAAAGACCCCGTACGAAGTTCGGAGGTGTCCTAGCAGCAGTGCCTGGTTCCTACTTGTACCCTCAAAAACCCAGGCACCCACGCATCCAGATCGATCAGCTCGGTTGCCTGCGGAGTCCAGCGCGTTGTGCCCCGACCTGCAGCAAATGCTTCTGCATGAGCGACTGCTCATCATGCAGTTACTTGAGCTTGTAGGGATTGTAGGGTTTGCAGGGTGTGTGGGCCCAGTGTGGGCACTTTCACGGGGCCTTCCATCTCGCACACCCTCTGCACGGCTTCGACCGTCAAGCTTCAGAGTGGAGTTGCAACTTTTGAGAGGTGGAGAGCTTTCCCCATTTGCGAAAGTCGTTTCAGGTCTTCCCGTGCTCCTTGCACACCACTCCGTAGCAAGAAAATAAATCCTCATAAATCCCAATGCCTTGTCTGGTTTGATGGAGGGTGCGGCCGAAGTCGAGCTTGATTTTGATTTCACATCCTTTCTGAGGAATCAGGGCGAAGCGCCACTTGGCCTTTATGATGAGCCGCCTGAGAGTCTCCTGAGAGCCCATCAGATGTGTCGAAGTGTCGGAAATTGGGTTTGGGCTGGGAGCTTCCAATCTCGGCAAGCAAAGAACCGAAGAGCCTGAGCACTGCGCCGTGTTGAAATAAGTGCAGCACTTGTGGTGGAGCCTAGAAGTGAAACAAGATGCCTGTCGGGCTGTAGAGCTTGTTCGTGCGGCATCCCCGGATTCCATATTGCCGCTTAGAGTGCGAGGTCGGGAGCACAAGCACAGATGGAACTGCAGTGGGGATGTGAGTGCCTCGACCTGAGCAAATGGCAAGATCCTCAGGCTCGTTTCAAAACAACCCCCGCTCCCTCCCTCCGCCCCACCCATCGTCCATGCAGAAGCTGCTCCTGAAGAGTCCTGCCCTGATCCTGCAGACCTCAACTGTGCACGCCTCTTCCACTTCGAATGAACGGGGGCTTTAGGGAAAAGAGCCATAACGCATTTTGGCGTTCAGGGCTTGGGAGTTCATCGAAGGGTAGGGTGAGTTTGGGCTTGGCGGGTGGCGCTGAATGGCGATATCTCCCAAGTCCAGGAGCTGGCAGGTGAGGGATTTTGATGACTAGAGGGCAACCCAAGCGGGAATCCTCGTCGAAGCGTGTGAACCTCTCCAAATGTGTTGGGTTTCGGTCTTGCAGTGTAATGCATGGGCATCTTTCGCCGGAAGCTTGAAAAGTTTGAAAAAATCGCCGCCCCACCTAGCCCAAGTCTCCCCGTCTGACAATGCTTGAGATCCACTAAGCGACTCGCCATGTCTACCAGAAAATGTTGCCGTTCATGGGGCGATTTGGTGCTCAGGCTCAGCATGGCAGCGAGCCTGACAGTGGCGACTGACATCCCAATGAACACATTCGGGCTGCCCCCCCGTTTTTCTTTTTCCAGGCAGGGGAGTGTCAGGGCAAAAGATCCTGTTCATCAACCCCTAGAGCCCTAGAGCCCCTAGAGATTGCAGTTGGCCTTTTCTGGTGTCGAAAAGTATAAGCCATCAATCCTGCCCTGAGATCCCGAAATCAACTGACCCCTGGGCCAATGCTCACTGTGTTCAGACTTGGCCAATCTTTGGTGGCCCACGGATGGCGCGTGGTGTGGCTCGGCTTGAATGTGTAGTCATCGCATTGGAGGCATGGTTTGAAGCAGGCATGAGTCGGGGTCGAAAATGCAAAGCTCGCAGCTTCAAGGCAACGATTATACTGCATCACTCGTGAGGCTGCCTGGTGCATAAGGGCATAGTGTCATAGTGTAATACTGCAATTAAGTCGCTTACTATCAGCGAGGTCTTCAGCTTGTGGAGTCCTGTTGCGTAGTGCTGCAAAATGGTGGCTTTCACTCGCCTCTTCGTCTTCCAAGGTGGAACGCAACCACTGCGCCGCACACCACTGGCGATGTCCAGGTCGGATGCGAAAATTCGCAAGACTCAGCTGTAAAGCTGCACGCAGTTAAGTGCTCTCCGAAAGCCCTCCTGGACATCTGCCTCTAATAAACTTAGTGAAATTTTATATGACAAACGGCGCTCTAAGAGGCCTCACAGTGCACGATTTGCTGGAATGGTCCAGCTGAGCGCATGGCCTATGCCCGGCGCGAGAAGAACTTTCAGAGGTTTTCGTGGGGGTAGAGTGCTTCGGGTCCAACTCTCCAGCTTGATGGGGGGGGATTAGGGGTTTGGGTTCACCAGGTTCAGGGTTTGGACAAGCCTGCGCAAAATGCAGAAGCTTTGACCTTTTCAAGTTTCAGCGTGTTTATGGTACCGTGTGTACAGACCGCTCGCGCGACATGCTGCAGCTTGTCATCATAGCCGCTTCTGACAGCGGATACATAGCTTGCTTATGCCTTTCCGATGTAGCAACCACGTTGCAACTACTATCTCGATAGGAATGTGGGCCTTGTACAATGCAGGGTCTTACCATCCTACTAGCCCCCCCCTCCCCCCTCCCCCGGAGCATTCTTCAGCTTGATGCTGCAGCGGAGCGCCAGCTGTATACATGTTTCAGTTTCAGCATTTCAACTTTTAGCCAGCCTGCTGCGGGCTTCGAGCCGATGCTGGACGAGTTGCCATTGTTGCCACGATGCACCTGATGGCGCGGTACTCCGAACTCAGCATAGACATGTGGCTTTCGGCATTAGAAGTGCCGTCAGACGGCCTCACGCGGTGAACATGGCAGCCTGCGGAAGTCGTGCAGAAGCTTGTCAAGACATCTCCCGAAACACCATGCCTTGCGGTTGGAGGTCGGGGTTGGGCATCGTACTTTCGGAGATCGAGCGTGAAGCTGTGGCAGGCGTGCCGATGCAACAATTCGAGGGGGTGCTCTTCGATTCATGTGGCCCAGCGCATTCAACAAGGCATGCTCAACACACCATGCACTGTTCACCCCTGATCCGAAAACCTCCACAAGCCCTGAACCTGTTTAAGCCTCACGCGCGAGCGAGCGAGAGAGACAGAGAGAGAGAGAGAGAGAGACTCAGAAAGAAGGAAGGAAAGAGAAAGAGATAGGGAACGAGAAAAAGAAAGAGAAAGAGAGAGAGACAGAGAGAGAGCAAAAAAACAACAAAACACCCCGTTCGGCGGGTTGTGTGCACAGGAAGGAAGGAGGGAAGGAAGGAAGGAAGGAAGAGACAGAAAGAAAGAAAAGAAAGAAAGAAAGAGAGTCACGCCGGCAGCGGAGCAGGTTGGCAGTAGCCTTGAAGCACAACCCTTGTCTCGGGTGCGCGACTGCCCGGGGGGGGCGGGGCAAGAAGAGCAAAAAGAAGAGAGAGAGAGAGAGAGGGAGCGGGGGGCCCCCGGGTCCCTCAAGCCCTGTAGAAGAAGAAGAAGAAGAAGAAGAAGAAGAAGAAGAAGAGAGAGGGAGGAAGGGAGGGCGATGACGCCCGGGGGCTCCGGCCTCCACGCCCTCCGAAAGAAAGAAAGAAAGAAGGGAGGGAGAGAGAGAGAGAGAGAGCAGAAAATTGTTCCGCATCTCTGTGGAGGGGAAGCCTTAAAGTGAAAGAAGAAGAACAAGAAGAAATGAGAATCGACCTCTGAGATCCGGAAGTCGGAAGCAGAGTACAGCAGAGCTGAAGGGTTGTTTTGGGTTTTTTGTGGCAGAACTCGAAAGGATAGCAGAAGGTTTGCCTTCCAATGCCTGGCCACCTGTTTCTCGCGTTTCGTCTCTTGAGCCGGTGGGACTCCCGGCGTTTTGCCAGCTGACACAGAAGCTTCAGCACAATGTTGTTTGTATGAATATGCCTAGTTGCTAGGGTGACCCTATGGTGGTGTACTGAAACGGAATCTGGTGCCTTAGCTAAATCTGCACCTTGCGCAACAAGACAAAGCTTGGCCTAAAGTTCCGGAGCGTCTTTAGGATTTTGAGTCTCTTATCCCGAGGTCAGCCAGGGGCTGAAGGGGTGTTGACGGTGACATTTTGTCTTGGCAATTTTCGGCAGCTTGGGGCTTTTGAGGTAAACTCAGAGAGGCACTTTTCAAGCTATAGGCTCAGGGTTTGTGCGTTGTGCTGACTTCGGCGGTCGCAGCTGATGGCAGAGTCCACCCGTTCACTTCTCGCTCCCGTGCTTTCCGGGGTAGCGGTGGCCTGAAGATGGTGCAGGTTGCTGGAGGCAACCCGGAAAAAATCGGAAAGATGTTGTGCCTCGAGCTCGTGCTGTGCAAGACGATGCCAAACACTGCCAGATACAGTTGAGGGATCGTTGACTCTTGATTCTTCTGTACTTATAAGATCTTATAAGGTCCCCGCAGGTCGTGGAGCAGCCGCAGGCACCGTCCTTTCAGATGCGTCTCTAGGGGGGCGGCAAGCCGGCAAGCGTTTCGCGCAGCTACGTATTGAAGTTGCAATTTGTGCATCCCACTCAAAAAGTGCCCGATCATAGCATCAGATCTCCGTGACCAGGCCATACATCCCACGCAGGCGCAGAGGCTCCTGAATGGCCGGGTTTCGGGGCCTGCGTGGGCTTGCACAGGGCGGGCTTTGTTTTTGGGGTTGCGTTTTTTTTTTTTTTTTTTCAAACTATGAGTTCAACCCGAGACATGGCTGATTTCATGTCCATGACGCCCTCAGAAGCTTCATCATTTCAGCAATCCGTTCCCTTCAACTCAAGCCGCTTTTGGATCATCCTCGCCAGTGTCAGAAGAGAGGGAGTAGGATCTCCTCTTGCAAGATATTTGCCTGGCTGATTCGTTGTTGGGCGTGGGGGGGGGGGGGGGGGGGTTCTCAAGAAAAGAACATCAAGTTGCAAGTTGCGAACCGGCTTCATGCAGCTAGGCTGGCCAGTGGCAGGGACAGTTGGCGCCTGCAGATTGATCCTTAAGTCCTATTTCGTCTCGAAAATGTTTTCCTGCCTTGAACGTTCACCCTTAAACTGCACACTTTCGTGTTGTATCCATGAGAGCAACATGCCTTCTCTGACTGCAGCGGAAGTGCTGCTTGCCAGTCCTATTGCCGCTTTTGCCCGAGCGGGTGCATCTTGGACCATCTGCTGCACGCACATTCGCGGAGATGCGGTTCGTTTGTCAAACGGGTACATTCTGATGAGATACAGACCAGAACGAAAGCGCGAAAGAAACCGCGAAAGAACGAACGAATGAGAGAGAGAGAGGGGCAGGCTTTCTGAGAAGAAGAATAAGCAGAAGAAGAGAGGGAAGACTTGCAGAAGAGGAAGACAGAAGAGCACACGTTTGAAGGCAAGAAGGCAAAAGAGAAAAAAAACCTTGTTGTGGAGAATTATTAGAATGGGGGAAGAGGAGTTGTTTTGTTCGACTCGGCCTTCGGAGGATTTGCTGGATGTTGTTGGACTGGGGGGATCAAGGGGTTGGCAGTTTTGGTGTCCGACGCAAAGAAACCACGGCTTCTTTTGCAACGTAGGCCGCTCTATCGCATTCCCTCCCCAAAAAAGAGGGCGTGACACTCGGATGATTCCGCGTTTTTAATGTTCCAAACCATGGCGCATGCCTGCGCAGGCCTCCTAGCGAACGGGCACTTGCAGAAACTGCACCAGCACCACGCTCATCGCCTGTGCAGCGTGCTCAGCAATTGTCGAGGCTTGCTTTGACTGCGGGGTGACCATTCCAGGGCGGAGGGGGCAGAGAGGTTCTTTGAGCTTCTGCAGGGTTAAAAGCCACTGTAGCAACCGAGCTTCCAATCCGACGCCGAGACGTAGTGTTGCCAGGTCGGCTCAGTGTACGCATGCAAGCCAACTCTGAGCTGACGCCACGTTCGAGAAGCAAAATGCATTTTCCTCACTCACACTCAATACACTCAATCTGTCGCAGGCCGGCAGGGCAAAGTGCACTTGCACAGCCGGCGATTGGGAGCCCCTCAGCCAACAACCTCGCGGAGGCTCCGTCCTGAGAGTCCAAGTTGCTCATAGTTGCTACTTCCTCTCTGCCAGTTAAGTTAACGCTCACCAGGCCGAGAACTGCTTATTCCCCAAACCAGCCGAGTTCAATTGACCCAAAACGGCCCACAGGCCTCATGGCCCCTTAACCGCAACCTTAAATCCCAGAACCCCAGCAGTCCATGCCTGGGCCCAATGCCTTCAGCCGAAGGCAGATGCAAAGCTCCAGGTTACGATAGCGCAGGAGGTGCCGGCAGAGAAGGTGGGGGTGGAGTTCTGGGATCAGTGGAGAGAGGGAGCGAGAGAGTAAGACCGGCAAGCTGTACGGGACA